GACTCCCCAGGGTTTGTATCTTCTGAGTGGACAGTAGTGCTCCAGTCCTGGAGAGAACTAGCAGGGCGTAAGTCAGGTCTCACAGCCTGGAGACAAACCCTGAGTCACTCATTAACACATCACATTCCTCTGCAGTAAGTCTGCTGCACCAGCCCAGAGTTATCTCAAGTGTGACACAGCATCACAGTGTAACTCTCACAGGCCTGTATGCAGGGCTCTTTCATGTTAATGCATTCTGCACATTGTTACCAGTTGGGGAGTATGAAATTAGAGAAAGCTCACAAAATGACCAAGCAGATGAATCAATAATTAAAATAAATAATCAAAACCTCCTACTTGTAAAGATTTTGTCAAGAATATGCCTGAGTGGTTGGTATAATTAGAGGCACATGAGCTCTTTGTCCTCTGGCACAGATTTGGTGAAAAGAATAATAATTCAGGCACACTTGTTTAAACAAATACCACCAATGACAATACACACACAAACAACACACAACATAAACATACAACATACAAGCTACACTATTTACAGTACATACTTACTAGCAAGGAGTCCCAGAGGCCTCATGTCCTAACCACCCAGAAAAACACCAGACTGCTACCAAGTATTCAAACTCTTACATAACCCCTACACAGGTCACAAAAGAAGAGACAAGATGCCTTCTTAACTAAATAGAATTCAACCTGCAGTTGAGTCTATCTCCCTGTTCTAAAAATGTGCTCACTAACGAGGACAGGGCATTGTTAACTCTGGGTTTCTTTACACAGGATATCAGAGTTCCCTGAACCACAGAGTAGCACACTTTGTGACAAGGATAAACACTTAGCTCCAATCTGATTTTCCCGTTGATCATTTTGACCTTGTTGATCAACTTGTGCCTCACGTCTGCCTACTGTCTGAACAGCCCTGGTCAAAATGAGGAAAAACGCACACACACCTCTCTTGAGATCGCAGCTGACAGTGACCTGTGCACGTCTGTCTGGCCTCGTGGAGGAGCTCCTCTCTCACAGTGACCTGTGCACGTCTGTCTGGCCAGGTGGAGATCTCCTCTCTCACAGTGACCTGTGCACGTCTGTCTGGCCAGGTGGAGATCTCCTCTCTCACAGTGACCTGTGCACGTCTGTCTGGCCAGGTTTGAGATCTCCTCTCTGACGCTGGTGAGGGCGGAGGTCACAGGTCACCTGCTTCTGTTCTGTTGCATGAGTCGGGCATTATGAGAAGTCACACAGAGATAAAATCAAGCAAAACACGACTAGATAACTCCAAGACGATTTGCAGAATTAAGGGGTGAAAAGAGGAAAAGTAATGTTTAATTGTACAAGATTAAGAAACCCAATTTTTCCTTTTTTGCTTCTTGACATCACAGTGCTCAGCAGTGCCCCCCCATTTCAGGGGGTCCCCTTGAAAATGTGTCATTTCAAACAGGCTGATCAGAAACTTCCTACACCAACAGACTTCCAGAAGTGTAAATTATCCAAACAGGAGTGACTCACTGAGAAACACAATAATGTGTACAAACAATCTGAAAGATAGATGTTTTCAGTCAGTAGAGCAACATGTCTGGTAGTATTTTAGTGCTGATATTCTATAAACTCCTGTCCTGTTTGCTTGAGCACACCGGTGTGACATCATCCCGATGAAGCTTGTTTGAACTGAATCATAAATCAAATTAGCATGTAGTATCTGCTGAAAATGTGGGTGTGAAACTGTGTTTCTTTGAAAGATACTCTGATGCTCACCTGGTGTGACTCTCAGGTAATTACAGTGATTATTAATTATGATTACAGGGGGACCTGGACTCATGTGTGAAGTCCTGTTTCTCTGGATTCTGGCTGTTGGGACAGTCTTTACAGAGGAAGATGGAGATGAGCATGAAGATGGTACAGTAGGAATTATTTAAGTGTTATTTTAGACAGTTGTGATTGAATGTGATTGAGTGTCTTCTGTAAGTAGTAGTTCTGTAAGTAGTTGTGTGTGATTCCTTGAAACATGTTACAGTTTCAGTTCACATTCTGACTTCCTGCTGCTTAGTGTCCCAGAGCCCCTCATGTCCTCCTTC